TGGGAAACAGCTGGGTGAGTCTCTCAACCAAGGAAACAAAACAGTGAAAGTACAAGACGAACCAAACAATTTAGCTGAGCACAGGAGCCTTACAGTGTTAAAGTAGTTTGTAAAACCTGAAAGTGCTCATAGTGCCCCTCCTGACATGGAATAGGTGGTCATCCTGTCTCCACCAGAGATCATTGCAAGCCACTTCAGAGATGGAGACATTGACCTACACAATAATTCGACTTGAAAGTCAGGTTAACCTTAGATACATGGCCTTGAGGAAAATCTCTAAAAGTACATCGCGACTCACAAGCACAGTAAAAACAGACAGAAGTAAATCATACTCCAGACCAATTAGAGCAATTAAGAAATCCACACAAAACATTTCTCCAACAATTAATTCCAAATAATGGACTTTAATGGCATGGCAACACGACCTTAACATCACAGCAGCGTCCAATAAACTTTATAAAACTGCACACAATTTAAAATGCTTGTTGAATGAAAGCAGATGAATCAATACTGTACTTGTGCTGCTGAATATGAGCTAACGATAACAGGGCAATGCTACGCTGTACCTGTGCCTAAGAGTGAGCATGTGGCCATGTGTGTGTCCATACAGAAAGTGGGAAGTTTACGGTACATTACGACGCCGCTCCTAGCGCCAGGCCACCTCACCGTTCATGCCGTTGTAGATGCTCCTGTGGTGGGGTGACAGCTCATCTCCGGCCGGCCTCCTCGCCGCCATCTCCCTGCCCGGGCTACCGAACTTCACGTGCTCCGGACTGCTGGCGTACTGCAGCCTGAGCGACTCCTGGCTGCCCCCGCCCAAGCGGGCCTTGTGCAGCAGCTCCGCGGCACCGCCCAGGGCTTGCTTGGGCTCGGGGCTGCCGCACCTGCTGCCGATGCTGCCCCTGTGCTTGTGGAACTGCTCCGGGCTCCCCGGCGCCGAGCCGAGAAGGTGCTTTGGTGATAGCGTCTCTGTGCTGTGCTTGGGGTGCTGCTCCGGGCTCCTGCGGCCCAGGACCAGGCTGTGCTTCTCGGGACTAAGTCCCCGCAGGGACTTGTGGTCTGGGCTGGAGATGGAGCCGCCACGTGGCCTGGAGGGCTGGGGAAAGGTCAGAGGGTAATCGAGACTGGTGCTCCTGTGCCTGCCAGGATGCTCTGGGATAACCCCCTCCCCCAATCCCCCTCCCAGGTCCTTGGCCTTCTGAATATGCTCGATACTGCCTCCCACAGGAGCAATCAGGAGCTGCTGCTTGTGATGCACATGATCAGGGCTGTCGGTGCTGCCCCCGCTGGAGGTGCTGCTGCCGTCGCCCACGTCCCGCAACAGCCCCACCCCAGGGACGCTCAGACTGCTCTGGCTGTCGATGGAGTTGCGGCAGCCCGCCGTTCCCGAGCCGACCCCCCCGACACCCACTGGCCCCTTCTCCTCGTCCAGCATGAGGCAAAGCTCCTTCAGCTCCAAATTCTCCCTGATCACTTCCTCCTGGCGCATTTCCAGCTCCTTCAGCTTCTGCAGGTAGAGGGTCACCTCCTTGCGCATGATGCTGGCACTGTAGCGCCCGAGCCGCTGCCACTCCCGCGACACCCGCTTCCCCTTCTGCCGGTCGTCGTCCAGGAAGCAGCACAGGTCACGCAACTCCTGGTTGTCCTCCTGCAGCTTCTGGTTCACGTCCTGCACGTAACGAGACAAGATGGCGACATGATTAAATGATCCAAGTAGAGCTTGTGCCACCCATTTCAACCGGCTCCTTTGCAGAAAAGTACATTCCATCACACCCCTTCATATACGGGACTTATTCACAGTCATCCTCTGTGACCTTCTGTCTCTTGTCAGCTGATTGGGTGGAATTATTGTTCTTTCGTGTCAGAGATTCTTATTGGTTAATCACAGTCTGGCTATTTACATTAATGAACAAACATTTTAGAACATAAACCATTCAAATCACCCCCACAATGGAACAACATCAAGCCTTATTCATAGCCTCCTCATTAGTCCTGTTATGTAATACATAATGTAACTTGGCACAGAAGCTAGTGCCCAATAAGCATTTATATATTTCTATTCCGAGCCTTAGCATTTGAAAATGTTACGTAATGCATTGGTCTTTTTGCTAGGTAAAGAACGTGCACAACCTAAACTCCAACAGCACGCATTTCTAGCACTAACTCGTGGGTTTCAGTCTAGCATATTATACTACGATTCTTGGCATGATTATAAGATCCAATACATATAGTATTGAACTTCAGAGGTAAAGCCGATCACAGTATTCAAAAACTGCCCAACAGACAACAGGTGCTCTTCTAGCGTAGGCTGAGCCAAGTTCTTGGCAGTAGCTGACGGTAATGCAGCAAATGTTCAGTACAGCATATATTAGTGTCCATAGTTCTGATATGCGCTTCCGTGCCCTTTTCATTTTGACAGGCATCACAGCTTTTCTTTACAAGTAAGCAACCACGCAACACCCATCGCGATCTGTAAAATCTCGACCAAATCCATATATTTGCTTTGTTGACACGTTTCACTTAAATTACTTGTAAATTTTAATAACATTTGGAAAGTGTAGGTTTTCCCCTATTACCTGCTGATGAACAAATAAATCTATCTTTAGTGTATTGCGATTCATTACTTGGTCTTGCTGTGTGGATCCCCTAATGATGCTTCTGTATGGTGGCTCACCTTCAGTCCTCTGATCTCATTAAGGTGCAACTGGAGACTGCGGTTGACCTCCCGAATCAGGTTTCCGTGGTCCAGTATGATGCTCATCTTCTCGGCTTCCGCCCTTCGCAAACGCCGCACCAAGTCCTCTTTGCTCCACTTCAGCAGATCCTCGTCCGACAGCTTGGAGATGTCTTCCGCCGGACTTTCTGCACTGTTAGACATCGCTTGCTGTGGCGGAGCTTGTGCTTGTGTGGGTTTCTCCATCAGCACAATTGCAATGCCGATAAAAAAAAAAGCAAACGATGTTTAAGCGAAGGCTGTCAACCTCTACTCTTGCTCAACGTAAGTCGTTTTACGACGGCGAAACTGTGCAATTCATACGTGTGGCATGGTCTCTCCGCAACCCATCTTTGCTCCTGTTCAACGGGGATAAAATAGCACGCAAAACGCAACGGCGTATTTAGATAAAATGATGAGATTTCCTGACTGAGATTGTCTCCTCTATAGATGACATTATAAATAGTCCTTGGGAAGTTCGCCGTTCAGGAGGACTTGTGCATGCCCCGCCTAGAGAAGAGCGCGTCCCTGGTTAGAGGGATGCTGCCGTGCATGGCTCCCGCCCCGCGCGCTGCCGCTCCTCTTCGCCGGTGCATTGAGGTGGGTGCAGCCCTGGCTGTGATGACATGGGCAGGGAGACGGCGTGACGGCAGCCGAGTAGCCAGTAGACTGCTACATGGTACAGAGCTCCCCCTCTCTCCTCTCTCTCTTCCCTCTCTCTCTCTCTCTCCTTTGACAGAGCACTCCAAATACGTTAGTGCTGGGAAATAAAAATTAGGATAGGTTGGTGTCCAGCGCCATCTACAGAATACAAGACACATTTTCCTCAACCGCTAATAAACATTGCATATTATTTTTTGCGGTGTAATTAACTTTCTCACCAGGCGCTTATACTGTGTCATGGATAACTATTATCTGTACCAACCTACAACCTACCTAACAAAAAAACTGAAGTTAAATTGGGATGCCAGAAATAACAGGTCAGGATGCTCTATGTATCAAGAGCTCCACAAGAATTAAGTCAGGCGAGTGTTTATGTAAAATAGAAAAATGAACCTTGACTTTCAGTGATTAGAATCCATTAGCACTTAATTTTGGATTTTTTTCAGTTAATTTTGTTTTATCATTGATTAACTATGTTGTGTGTTATTATTTTGTTCAGTATAATTGTTTTAAATATTATACAAATGAATATATATCTTATACTACACTTTACCAACAGTATAGAACACAGGTGTCAAACTCCAGTCCTGGAGGGCCGGAGACCTCCATATTTTTGGGTTTCCCCTCATTTAACACACCTGATTCAGGTCCTTGCATCTCCCTGTACTAATTACCACACAGCTCTTGAGCTGAATTATTTGTGGTGGAACAGGGAAAGAACTAAGCTACACAGGGCTCTGGTCCCCCAGGACTGGAGTTTGACAACCCTGGTGCAGAGCATTTCAGGTCCAGAGAGTACAAATCCAGACCAAGGTTTTGTTTCTCCCAACTAGCTGAGTACTCTGTGACTGTGACTCTTTATGCTCAATTGATTGGTAGAAACAAAATCTTGGTCTGGATTTGTAGTTTCTGGAACCAAAATGCCCAACACTAAATAAACAGTTAGTTTTAATTTGGAAACGGGAAGATGGGAACCCGCCAAACTTGGCACAAGTCAAACCTGGTGAATTTAAGGGTTACGATTTGGGTTAGCAAGGTTAAGGAAGCTATTTGAATTGGGCAGGGGATAGAGTTGGCATTATGTTTCAGATTAAATTTGCCATTGGGGTTAAGGTTAGTGTTGGCATTATGGATATGTGCAGGATTCACATGATGTTTCAAGCTAAGTTTTGGATTAGATTTGCTATTACAGTTATAGCTAGGGTTAGGCTTGCCAGTGCTGATGCAAATGGGGTTTATCCTGTAAATGCTCATAATTATTGTATTGTTTCATTAGGGCACTGAAAACAGCCATCAGATAGAGACCAGGAGGGGTTACATTAAAGTTTCCTCCTTATCTTATAATAAGATCCTGGAGCACCTAATGGCTGGCAGGTCCCTGCCTGCCCACCCAGCCTAACCACACGTCTGCCATCCTCCTCTGCTTGGTGCTGGATTGCTGGTGACCTCTGAAGGCTTTGGGCGGGTCAACGTAATATTGTGCAAATTTGCAATATAAATAAATCTGACATTAAAATTATGTCTTCCATGATTTCATTTTGTTAGCTTATGTAAAATGTAAAAAACAGTCTTAGAGTGTCTGCTCTGTGGCAAGATGTCAACATAAACACATACAAGCACTGGACAGTTTCAGAAGATGTTTTAAGACACCAAAGCATGGTAAAAGGGAAGGGGGTTAGGGTACAGTGAGGTCACCCTGGTAGTGCTGGCACAGTCTGGACATGCTACAGGTTGGGCCAGGGTCCTCTGATTTGCACTAGGCTCATCTGTGACATGACAGGACTTAGATAAAAGAGTATTAGTGAGAATGAGGACAACCCAGCATTGCTGAACATGTCATTGCTGTGTTTCCAGGTAGTTGCTAGTCAAGGCTTGCTGGTCGATCCAGTGACCTCTTCACTGCTAGGCTGCTGTTGTTTATGTCTGGTAGTCCTGTCTGAAACGGCAGTCCCTGGCTTCACCAGCAGCTGTCAGCCATGGACGGGTGCACGGGGTCTACTGTCCAAAGGACTAGTGCTGAATTTGGACAGGTTCTGCAGCTCATGCAGTGACAACTGTCAGATGGCTGGAACAAAGTGCAGAAGTCTGAGGCACTGACATGACAAATTCTAAACTTCGTCACAAACCCTCATACGTCAGATACAATTTCAAACTGGTATGTAAAATATGTCTTGAATGGAGGTTGGCTTTAACTTATTTCCATGCTCCATGCAGTGTGTTGTCTATTCTTAGATAATGCAGGACCACAGTGTGGTGATAACATAATAAGAATTTCATTAAAAATTTATAAAAATAATTGCTGTCACTAACTGTTGATGACATTAGGCAGCTATTGTTCTAGCTATATACAGTAAAGCCACTGGACACCAGTGAAAGATGATAGCTGCAAGTCTAAGGAGCAAGTATATTGCATGGGGAGTGTGGTCACTTGGTCAAACCTGCTACTTGTAAAACTAATAAACAAAGAAAAAGCATCACTGAGAATGGAGAGCAACAGAAGTGAAATGTAGTTGTTATAGATGTACAGAAATTCCACAAGTGAACGAGAAATTTAAATGCAGCTTGGCTGTTCAACGCGGATTCTTCACTAAATAGCCAATCGGTGCAAATTAATACACGCAGCACTTTCACTTAACATATTTTAATTGTGTAGTCAATGTCCATAAAAACCTGCTCGGTATTGTATGTGGGTGTGAGTTTAAACCATTTTATAGTAATAATTTATAAGGTGATAACCATTAATTATATGCGTTGCAAACTATATTCTACGTAATAAATATCGATAGCATTAAATATTTTCCGAGAACGTAGGTCAACAAAGTTGCAAGTCCGCGCACTCGTCAACAACAGCCATTAAGCAGTTCAGAATGCTACGCATGTACCTTTGACGTTGAAGTCTATGTTAGTTTACTTTTTTGCCAGTGATGTCAACGTCAATAAGAAATAGATATGTAAACTATGAAGATGTGACGCGTCACCCCGTCAGTATTGCATCGCTGACTGAGCTTTCGATCTCTTCCTTTCTTTCATTTTAACATTCCTCGCATTTCTGTCCTCTAGCGCTCTTCTCATGCGCCCCTTCGGAAATCTGGCAATTTCTCGCTTCCGGTGACGTCGGACTGCCGCCAACCAATAGAAAACTGCCAAATGAGTCGACACACGTCATCACCGCTGAGCAGAGGAACCGGCGCGTCCCTAAAAGTCGGCTTTCCTTGGGCTGCCTCCTAGGATCGTCTTTAGCACTTTTTGTCGTCTTCTTTTTGGTAGCACACAGTCTTTCGTAGGGTTCGCGGAACTTTTATTACTGATTCGTCTTTATTTACATCCGATTGAAGAGTACAAGGTAGGTGGTTTTGCGTAACACTCAGTAGTAGGCCGCTATGGTTTTCCGTTGGTAGACGTTGGACGTCATGGTGAAACTGGCTGTAGTCGAAAAGCTTTCTGTCTGTCGGCGTTCATAAAATAGTTGTTTAACTGAGAGTGTATCCTTCGTCGTAAGTTTAAACGTTAATCAGACATGGTTAAGCGTATCTAATTCGATTGTGAAGCCGTGACTGATGCATCTTAGCAAAGTGATTTTTTTTCCACAGTGAAACTGCAGCTGCCGGTTTCACTGTATCTCGTTCTTTCTTTTGCTGTCATTTAATCATCTATTGAGATCGTGATCGCCGATTATAGGTACAGAAAAGTGGTTAGGGATTTGGGAAATAAGGAATTGACTTTTATTTGGGGGGGGGGGGGGATTTTCCCCTCCCTTGTGTTATATTTACCTGTTGGCAGTCGAAATCTTGGTGAAATCTGATCTCAGGAAACATGACCTTTCCATTAGCCGATTGGGCCGTTATTATTTCAGTTATCCAGCTATGCTTCGTCTCCAGGAGGTGATTAAGGTGTCAGACTGAGACTTGCTGACTGGAGCGCCTGAAATGCAGAGTTTGCTGTCAGAGGAGTGGCACAGTCCGTACTGATGTAGAGTGAATTGCGCATGAATGGCATGTCTGAAGACAGTGAATCACCATGGTTGGCTGCTTGACTTAGCAAATATTTGTCTACGTTTTAAGTCGTGGCAAGGGTGTAACTATGTGTTTGCGCACTTCACTTAAAAATAGTCGTTAAAACTTGCAGGACCGGTTCATTTGACGTAGTCTGCTTCGCCTTATATTACTTAAAACTCTTCAGATGGGCTGCAGTGGAATATTCTCCTTCACCTCTACATCACCTAGTTGAGAGAGCCAGGTTGTCCAAGCAAGTCTACAGTAGTCAAGGGTATTAGTTGTTTTTACAAATATGATAGGTATATGAGTTGTGTTTTTATCCAGAGTTTATTTCCTCGTGATGTTTAACCGTCTGCAACTTTCCATTCTCTTTCATAGGTGTGACCGGTGAATCTTTTCATGGCAACATATCAAGAGTTCATCCAGCAGAATGAGGACCGGGATGGAGTTCGCTTCAGCTGGAACCTATGGCCTTCCAGTCGACTGGAGGCCACCAGGCTGGTGGTTCCAGTGTCATGCCTCTTCACCCCTTTGAAGGAGCGCCTAGACCTGCCTCCCGTCCAGTACGAGCCTGTCCTTTGTGGCCGTGCCACCTGCAGGGCTGTCCTCAACCCTCTTTGGTAGGAACTGCACTCTTGCATATTTCTTCATCCATCTTACACTTTTCTTGGTGGGGGTTTTTTGTCATTGCCAAATTTCCAGAATGCTTGTCGGTAATCAGAACAGTTTTGCTTGGGCTATAATGGATGTTCTTACCCAACAGTCCTGTTTTTTTGGTCTTGACTTTAGTTCTTGTTCTCTCATTTGTAGTCAAGTTGACTTCAGGGCTAAGATCTGGGCATGCAACTTCTGCTTCCAGAGAAACCCGGTAAGTATTTCTGCAACTCATGATCTATAACTAATACCCGCGATGCACTGTTTTCTTACCAACGTCTTTTATTTCATCTTTCAGTTTCCACCCACATATGCAGGCATCTCTGATGTGAATCAGCCTGCGGAACTGATGCCACAGTTCTCGACAATTGAGTACATAGTACAGGTGAATAAGCATGTGCCTTTTGAGTATGCCGTTAAGGTAGTCCTGAAACATATTGGTGGTCATTGTAATATTAATTATTCCACTTGCTAATTAAAGCCATGGTAAAGGCCAGTAGATTGTCTGCATCGCCCTTATCTGTTGAATCGTGAAGGTTCCTTTCATTTGAAGTGATTGTAAATGCTACTTGCTTTTCCGGTTCTTGCAGCGAGGGCCTCCGACACCTTTGATCTTCCTGTACGTTGTGGATATCTGTCTGGAAGAGGAGGACCTGCAGGCGCTGAAGGAGTCACTGCAGATGTCCCTCAGCTTGCTGCCCCCCAACGCCCTAGTGGGCCTCATCACCTTTGGCCGCATGGTGCAGGTGCACGAGCTCAGCTGCGAGGGCATTGCCAAGAGCTATGTTTTCAGGGGCACCAAGGACCTTTCCGCCAAGCAGATCCAGGTTAGCAGTTTTGCTTTGGAAGTGTGCAGATGTTGGTAGGTGTAAAGCTTAAAAAAAAAAAAAGTGGACCTAAACCTTTTTGATGGACTGATGTGGCTTGGCTGACATTCATACTACCGATTTATGTGATCCAGATGAGGCAGGTACTGGTCTTTGACTAGATTCAGCTAGATCTGATCTAATTATAATAAAACACGTTATGGTTGTGAGGGGAAACTGGGTTAAATTTAAAAAACAACTATGCTGATTAGGTCAATTACTGTGTTCCAGAATATAGTTTCCAGAGGCAATTATCCATTGCTAATTTTCATGCCTGATTTTTGTTTTTCTTGCAGGAAATGCTGGGTCTGATCAAACCGACAGTAGCAGGACCGCAGGGCCATCCAGTGGCACCTCAAGATGCACATACCAGCTGCAGGTATGACGCAGGGCATGTTTATTACCATCTGCCTTCAGTTGAATTATTTGGGGATTAGATGTACAGGAGCTGTACAGTGTCAGTGAGTACAGGTCTGCAGCTCTGTTCGGACCAAGCGCTCCCACTTTCTCAAACACTAGGTGCAATTTTTGGTATTTATCGGTTTGTTTCTCTGCACCTTGTCTTGCGCAGATTCCTTCAGCCTGTGCAGAAGGTGGACATGAACCTGACAGACCTTCTCGGGGAGCTGCAGAGGGACCCCTGGCCCGTGGCTCAGGGCAAGCGACCGCTGCGATCCACAGGCATTGCTCTGTCTATTGCCGTGGGACTGCTGGAGGTACACCAACATCTGCTACATCACTTGGCACTTCCCATGATTGAACTTGCTGTTTATGTGTGTGATCTCTATAATTTGTTGGTCCGTTTTGCATCTGTTTTGTAACGAACACACTTCCTTGACGTTATTAATACAGCCTAATGTATACTAATGAGGCTCTTGCTGTAATATTTTGGAAAAGTTCAAGATACAATGATGTGATTCTATGCCAGGAAATAAGTTGTATAATCACCCCATTGACCAGAGCTTTGTTCCCCATCACCAGGGCACATTCCCCAACACAGGGGCCCGTGTGATGCTCTTCACAGGGGGCCCCCCAACACAGGGCCCAGGGATGGTAGTGGGGGACGAGCTGAAAACCCCCATCCGCTCCTGGCACGACATCCAAAAGGACAACGCCCGCCACCTGAAAAAGGCCACCAAGGTTTGTTACGGTGACCTTGGATCTGATAATGTGCACATGTTCTTCAGTGGAGAACCATCTTGTGTTCTTCAATTAGGGCGCGTTCATGCTCGTGTGTGACGCTCTGATTGTGATCCACAGTACTACGAAGCCCTGGCAAACCGTGCGGCCGTGAATGGACACTGCATCGATATCTATGCCTGCTCCCTCGACCAGACAGGCCTTCTAGAGATGAAGTGTTGTTCCAATCTCACTGGGTGAGTCCCCCCCCTTGCAATTTCGCAGTTCCAGGTGTCCAATGCTTGTATCTGGGTTGGCATTTGAATTTGGTTCATTTAATGTCAGTCTGACATGCTCACCCTGTCTGTCCTATGTCTTAGGGGGCACATTGTAATGGGAGACTCCTTCAACACCTCGCTTTTCAAGCAGACCTTCCAGCGAGTCTTCAGTAAAGATTTCAACAACGAGTTCCGCATGGCCTTCGGAGCCACCATGGAAGTCAAGGTAGGGGGAGCTCGAGTCGTCAGTCTCCACAGTGATTTTGTTCCCTTTACCGTGGACTGCCATGCGGTCCAGTTCCTTCCATTTTAACGCTCTGTGTGTGTTTCTTCTTCCCAGACTTCAAGGGAGCTGAAAGTGTCTGGAGCCATCGGTCCCTGTGTCTCGCTGAACAGCAAGGGTCCTTGCGTGTCGGAGAATGTAAGTTTCCTATTATCTTTTTTGTTCTTGACCTGTAGACAGTCAAAATACAACTACTATGGACTGGTAGTTGGTGTAGGCGTCCGGATGGTGACTTGGTCCCTATTTTGCAGGAAATGGGCATCGGTGGCACCAGCCAGTGGAAGATCTGTGGTATGAACCCCTCCACCACACTGGCTCTCTACTTTGAGGTTGTGAATCAGGTAGGAGCAGCGGCTCGTTAGCGGCTCGTTATCTACCCTGACTGGCTGGATTCAGGCACATCAGAACGCAGCACCTCACTCTTCACTCCCTGTTTCAGCACAACGCGCCGATTCCTCAGGGCGGTAGAGGAGCAATTCAGTTCGTCACACAGTACCAGCACTCCAACACACAGAGGAGGATCCGCGTCACCACTATCGCCAGGAAGTGAGTTTCTCAGAAGCCGCGCGTCATGACTTTGTTTCTAGATCTTCATTAGCTTATACAGGGATTTAGCAAGCTCTAGTTCTTTTCAAACAATTTTGCGCCCTATTTAACTAGGTCTGTGAAATTCTTGGAAATTTCTCAATAATCCACATGGAAAGTTTCCAGCTGAACTTTTCATGGGATGGAAAGTTACTGAGAAGTTTCTGGAAATTTTCCACCCCATTGCAACCATGACTTGGTGCCTCTTCTATTGAACTGACGTTTCTCCTGTTTGCGTGCTTCCAGCTGGGCAGATGCACAGTCACAGATTCAGCACATCGAGGCGTCGTTTGACCAGGAGGCATCAGCGGTGCTGATGGCCCGGCTGGGTGTGTTCCGTGCGGAGTCTGAGGAAGGGCCAGACGTGCTGCGCTGGCTGGACAGGCAGCTCATTCGGCTGGTGAGCACTCTTGGTCACCCTGCAGTCACAGCTGACACTAAGAAGTCAACTGAGCTGACACTAGGACCAGCCATTTCAATGGAGTTTAAACCACATCACCATGGACTAAAACATCAGCCAGCATGAAAACACCTGTCCAAAATACTAAATGCTGAAATTTTCTTTTTAAACAGTGCCAGAAATTTGGACAGTTCAACAAAGATGACCCCAACTCCTTCCGGCTATCCGAGTCCCTCTCCCTGTACCCACAGGTACCAGCTGTTCACAGATGCCTCAGAGTCAAAAGATCGTTAAGATTCGTGGTTTCAGAATGAATAAATTCAGCATCTGACGCATCCCCTCTGCCGCTCTGTCTTCCAGTTCATGTTTCATTTGCGGAGGTCACCGTTCCTCCAGGTGTTCAACAACAGCCCTGACGAGTCGTCATACTACAGGCACCATTTCATAAGGCAGGACCTGACACAGTCGCTGATCATGGTCCAGCCGATCCTCTATTCATACTCCTTCTACGGACCTCCTGAGGTGAACTTTCTGCCTCACTTTTGATTATTCCATTGCTGGTTGGATACCAACTCCACAAACGTCACCCCGGCAACATGGCTTGATATTTGTTTTTTTGTGTCCTAGCCGGTGCTCCTGGACAGCAGCAGCATCCTGGCAGATCGAATTCTGCTGATGGACACCTTTTTTCAGCTTGTCATCTACCACGGCGAGGTACTATTCAGTAACACACACCAACCTTGTTTGGCTGCCTTGACGTGTTATGAGGTAATGAGTCTTTGCAGTCTTTCTGGCGCTTACCAATAACGTGATGTCTTCCATTCAGACCATTGCTCAGTGGCGCAAGGCTGGGTACCAGGACATGCCCGAGTATGAGAACTTCAAACAGCTGCTGCACGCTCCCCTAGATGACGCCCAGGAGATCTTGCAGACGCGCTTCCCCATGCCCCGTTACATCGACACCGAGCACGGTGGATCCCAGGCCCGGTTCCTGCTGTCAAAGGTCAACCCATCCCAGACTCACAACAACCTCTACGCCTGGGGCCAGGTCAGTTGATCATGTGTTGTTCTCCTGGGCTTTACAGATGGTTTTTTTTTTTTTTTTAAGGTGGGGGGGGGGCTATAATTCATAGAGGGGCAAACCTTATTAGCCAACTATGTTTTGAATTAGTGAGTGATAGGAGGCTGCATTCCTGGGGCCAGTCAGCTTTCAGCTCGAGCTAGTTCATCACTCTCCACCCTTCTATTACCCAGATACCTGACGTTCTTCTTGTTAGCAGGAATCTGGAGCACCCATTCTCACGGATGACGTCAGCCTTCAAGTGTTCATGGATCACCTGAAGAAGCTGGCTGTGTCCAGTGCAGCGTGATCGCAAATGGAAGGATTTCTGAACAGAAGGAGCCGTCTTCCACTCCCTTGGCCTCATTGACATTTCAAATCCTTAATGCTTTACAGTGTTGACGAGACCTATGACCTCTGCTGTAAAACAAGTTGTCTCAATATAACTTGTGGGAATGATTCTTTTAAAGGACTATGCTTTTAACATTCCACTATAGCCTTTAGATATCTAATTTCCTAATTTTGTTCAAAGAGAGAATTTGAGCAGTTGACTTGGCATTTTAATGTTATGCTAAAACTAATGTATGTGGAAGGAAACTGTGATATTGTCATTTCTCGATGGTATTTTATGAAAGCAGAGAAGGAAATGATTTAAATGTAGAAATACCAGTGTTGTCATGTCTTAAAAAAAATATTTGAAATTGCTGTATGTTTAATACTTTGGTTTTTGTGTAATACTATAAAAGTAATGATCTCTCGTATCCTGCCTTGATAAATGTCCTATTTAAATAATGCTATGGATTAAAAAGTATAGTAATTGACAGTGTCTTTGTGTTCACTTCTAATTATGACAAAATTCCATTAAGATTCGTGTTTTCAGAATGAATAAATTCAGCATTCAGGATCTGCAATCCAAATACTCATCGTTTCGCGTTTCATATACTCATGGAAACACAAATACTCATTGTTACTCGTTCTTTTGTGTTTCATATACTCATTGAAACAGAAATACATACTCATTGTTTGTGTCTGTCACTGTATGACTAGGTGTGCTGGTGAGTAGCGCAGGTCAGCACACTCCAGCACCGGTGAGGATTGCTGCCATTCCTATTAAGACAGTTTGTTGCGATTTCGTTGCAGCAGCAGAGAGAGCAGTAATCTTGCCACTGAGGCCTATTGTGTGTGTCTCCCAGAAGGTAATGTCTCTGGGCTATTTAGGGTTTATGATTCAACATGAAAGGCTGAAATGGGGCTGAACCCCCCACCTTGGAGGTGTGAAGAATTAGTGCTACTCATTCAACTACTCTGTTGCTGGTTTTTGTGTTTCCATAGTTACTGCATTTTAGCTGCATTACCGTCAAGTAACACTACTGGTTTAAGATAAAGCATAGTTAGCATTTTTAAATTTTATCAGTAGGTGTGTCTCAATCTAACTCTTGTGATATTTGCTGGCCCGATATGAATAGTTCAGTCAAGGAGGGGTTTTGAGCAACTGAAACGGTATCATATTTTAGGGATCATAGTATAACGTTCGTAGTCTAGCTTCGTGGGCGAATTACATGCAACGTGACTTCAGGTTTTATTTAATATTTTTCGTGTTTTTGATACATCAGCTGTTCTCCCTGACTTCCGACGACTGGCACGTAAGTTATTTTATTATTTTATCATTATAATTATTTTATTATTATTATTAACTCACGGATCTCCCTACTGCGATGGGCTGGCCCCCTGTCCAGGGTTGTTCCCTGCCTCGTGCCCGTTGCTTCCGGGATAGGCTCCGGACCCCCCGCGACCCAGTAGGATAAGCGGGTTGGAAGATGGATGGATGGATCTCCCTATTTCATTCTCATGCCAACATTTTGTGCCATGCGTCAATTTCGTCACACGCCTTGTCGTAAGCCCACGTGATCCGCAGAGCTGTTCCGGCTGACCAATGAGAATGATCGTCATTACATTCAAGATGGCAGCGTCCATCAATAAAGCGGAATGATGTCGGTCATTACGCCCTTGATTTCAACTGCTTCAATTTAAGTGATGGTTCAAATGCTGGTGCTGTAGTGGCATCTGTGATACATTAAATAACATGAAGCCGCAAAATCTGACGTGGTGGAACGCCCGCGTGTCGCTGTTGTACGCTGTGGGCATTTGGACCATGTTTGGCACTTACGCTTATTACCAAACGTATGTATGGCCACGTAAAAAGGACGAGCCACAAAACACCAATGGTAATTATCAGTTTTTCGCTACAATTTAATTTTGGGAATGTACTGTCTCATAAGTTTTACGTTAATGTTTCGTTACGGCTTAGCTAGTCTGACTTCCTCTTGCACCAGATTCCACTCTGACTTTAATTTACATATCCTCATTTAGAATTTAGTAATCAGTGGTCATTGTCAACACACCACAGTGCGCAACAATTTATCCCATATGTGACTTTCGTGACATAGCAGGGGACAGCTAATTCAGCGCCCGTGGAGCAGTGCTTGGGGGCGGGACCTTGCTCAGGGTACCTCAGTGGTGCCCACCCATTTTGTACCATTTTGTGTGCTGTGATGCATTGTCTAAAGTGTTAACGTGTTGCATTTTCAGAATTCGCTGCGCGTGAGGAGGAACTGAAGGATTATGCAACAGAATATGACACAGTTAAAGAGGACAAGAAATCAAAAGAACCAGTTGTTAGAAGCACTATTGTTTACAGGGAAAATTTTATTCCTTACTCTACAAGAGCTATCCGTTTTCTTAAATCTTTCGTTGGAAGTGAAACAAATGCACCAGAAAGCCAAACAAATGAAAAATGACTTGGCACGTCTTTGAGTTTTAAGACATCCAGATCCCCTACAGAGACACCATAGGCTGCTACTTGGAGATCACGGACAGAGTACGTGTTGAAGGTTCAGCCACCACCGTGGAATGGCAGTATGGTCTTTGACACTTTTATGCTTTGCAGCTTAGGTTGTCTACATCATCAGACTCTGGAGGTTGGGCATGTACAAAGATAGGTTTGAGGTCTAAATTTAATTGTTCTTTCAGTTCAGTAAGGGTCTTCCTATACTCGAAAATGATTTTTTTTTTTTGAGAACATTCTGTAGTTTAAGAATATAAAGGTGTTTATAATTATTTTAACAACTGAAGTTGCTGTAATACAAAGAGAAACTTTAAACTTTAACTCATGTGCATGACTTGTTTTATGTTACTGGTCTACAAAAACCATTTATCAGGGTGTGTATGATATTTATCGGACACTTTTATTCAAAGTGACATACATTTTTCAAAAATCAGGGTCAGACGGTTCCTGCAGCAACTGGGGATTATGGAGCCTGACCAATGGTGAAATCATTTTGTTAACCACAGGATTCCAGCCGATGACCTTCCAATGATGGATACAGGGTCCTGTCCTTCTGAACCACATGTCATATCGCAGGGTAGCAGCCAGCTTGGAGTCTATTCCTGAAAGCAGATGGCACAAGGCAGGGCACACCCTGGACAGGATATCTGTCTATCCCAGGACATACACGTACGCATTCTAAGGGAACTTTGAAAACTCTAATTCACGTTGGGATGCAAATGTACAGCTGTTGGGTGGAAACCCACATGGAAGACATACACATACAAGGGGGCAGCCACACCCACATTCCTGTAGGTATGAGGCCACAGTAATATGAATGTAAGTGTTAACGTTGTTATTCTGAGTTAAGGAGTGAAAAAAATGCTCATAAAAACAATATATAATTTCGTTTGTTATGAGATTGATTCTCTTCACTAGACAGATAGATATCTGTTTTTTAGGTGGCCTCTTTCAAATGTACATTTGTTTTAAGCTACTTTGTGTGAATCATTCTTTGTGACAGGCTTATATTCAGTTCTTGTAAAACAGTTCATACGTATTTACATGCATTTTAACAACGTCTAATACGGTAAAGACAACAGAAAGCTACATTCATTCTAATACAAAATGGCACACACGGATGGAGAGGATTTGGTTATTTTTAATCAATCTCCCTGTTACTAAAATACATGCCGCATGTGAACGTGACCTAGAAATAACGGGTGATGTTCTCAACTTCCTATAAAATATGAATATGTTGGTAGAAATGGATATGCAAATTACAAATGAGTACGTGGCATTTTTTCACAAAGCAGTAGTCCTTTTATTAGATACTTTTATAAATAGTTGCGTGTTGTTACCGACTGACATTCAAGAGTTGGCTGTTCTTGTTAAACGCTTAAACAATCTTAAATCTGTCACGGCCTAGAAGGGAATGAGGGAAATGTATAGTCAGCTTGCGACTCACGTACATTCGAAGAATAATTTGTATAAATGTATGTGCACGTGGATGAAAACCACGTGACATGGGGAGCCTACAAAGCTCCAAACTGAATTGAGCTGGAAGGGTGAGGTGTGTCAGCATGATCCCTGAATCCTCACGTTGTCCAGACTCACCTATATTTTATATATAGCGTGCCTGTAAACCACAGGTGGCTGAGTGTGTAGCGGCTGTTGTGACTAGGAAATAATGTATTCTTTGCTAAATATGACAAAATTATAGAAAAATACAAGAAGGACAAAAAATGATTAATACGACACACGAGGTAACAATGATGTATTACCCAGTTGCTACTGATTGTCAGGGTCGCGGGGATGAGATCAGATATGTTCATCTTTTTTTACTATGATTAGTTAGAAAAACATTCATTTCCTTTCATTAAATGGTCAGACATTTTAAATTAATGTGAATTCATATTCTGCGGTATCAGCTAGGGTTTCCAAACACGCATCAAACGTCCACGCAAAAAATCTTACAGCAAATCTATATTTTTTTCCATTATAAACCTAAAATGAGCTACATCAAAAGTGTTGGGGTAGTTTGCAAACCCTACATACTATAACTGTTACATATATGTAAACGTGTGTGCAAACTTACTCCAACCAGTTGAGCAAAGTTGGCAACTCTGCCGTACGGTATTTATATCGCAGTAAATAGGTGTCGTGTATGCAAGCGGCATGTAATCAGGCGGCACACCAGTCATGGCGGCGCGCCGCGGGCCTGCGCAGGAGTCGGGGGAGTGTCTATTCCAGCTCCCCGCAGAGCGCCTTGGCCAAGAAAGCCGTGCTGGGCGGAAACGTAATCTGTAGCCTGCTGTCGTGTGGGTAAGAAGGAAGGTTAGATATCCAAACCATGAAAGCGATCATTCAGAGGGTTTGGAAAGCGAGCGTGACGGGTTGGTAATGCACTAAACTCCTTTTTTACGTGCGCGGCTCCGCTAGCGTTGCGCGTGGCCGGGAGCCTCGGGGCTGCTTGCGTGCCGGCGGTGTGGCGCTTATCCGGCGGCTCGTCCTGCACAATGGGCAGCCGGGCCGGTGTTCGCCGGCTTTACCGTAATACCGGCTCTCCAGCCTGCGGTCTCCGCAGTTTATAGCCTAAACTGGCGGATTTTTAAAACTGTTTCACATGCATTGAAATATCAGTGTCAGACCTGGCAGTGTCGCTTCACTTTATTGCCCGGTGTCAGTAAATACCGGGCCAGACTAGGTATTAAAACTGAAAGCAAAACATGACGCCTTTTTAACTCTTTATATACGTTTAATATAACTCTGCGATTCACATTCTTATCAACTGGCTTTCTATATCGTGTACGGGTGTGTGTTTGTTGGCACAGTAATGACATCTATATGGGTCTGCTGCTTAGTTGACTTCTAACAGAATATAATTGGATCCCTCGTTATTTGTCATGTTACTGGTTGTCCAGGCTGCGGCTCTTCGCCATAGTCTCCGAGCGCGTGTGTTTCGGGTTAAGAGCAGACCGGCTTGGTGCTTTGCCCGGATACGCCTTTAGGGGGCGCACTCGGACGGCCGGAAAGCTCGGCGACGTTGGGGGGACTCCTTTAGAGGGGTGGGGCTGGGTGGTGTACCATTACGCTTTGCTGGAGCAGGATCATATTTGTGTAATTAACTTTGAAATGTTAAGTGCCTTACAGTAATACGTTTAATCCACTGCTGTATTATATGTTATTAACATACTATTCAGCTGTGTGTTTAAATTATATGGGCATTAAAATGATGTAGGATTAACTTAGCTTGTTGAGTACTAACCATTTGTCATGGTTTTAGCTAAAGGCCCCCCCACCACCATAAATGGGAACTGGAAAGAAAGCAAAGAGATGTAGCAAACAAAGTAATTCGTAATGTTTTGCTTAGTTGTGGTTAGGATCAATCTTTTTTTCTGGTGAATAGGTGTGCTGAAAGAAGTATGTCCCATGACTGGTTTTACTGGTTTGTTGTTGGCATTGCAGTTGGAGATGAGCAGGTCAGCAGCATCGGCCGCGGCCTCTGCGTCCTGCTGGGCATCTCGGTGGAGGACACGCCGAGGGACATGGAGTACATGTGAGCAGATTCCCCCGCGCAGCGTCGCTCCCCTCCCAACGCCGGAAGTGGCCCGTCCGCCGGCGCCGATCTCTTCGCCGTGGCTCTGCCTCCCTCTCACTTCTCCCTCTGCGCTCAGGGTGCGGAAAATCCTGAACATACGGCTCTTCGAAGATGAGAACGGACGAGCCTGGAGTCGCAGCGTCATGGACCGGGAGCTAGAGGTGCTGTGCATCAGTCAGTTCACGCTCCAGTGCTACCTAAAGGGCAACAAGCCGGACTTCCATTCGGCCATGCCGGCAGAACTGGCGCAGCCCTTCTACACCAGCATGTTGGAGCAGATGAGGAGTGCTTACCGAGCAGAGCTCATCAAAGGTACGTCTGTCGTCTAATGCCACCCTGCTGCTACGCGCTGGCCTACCGCGTACTTACGTGCTAGGGAGCCTGCGAAGCTCTCGTCCTCCACATCGCGCTCCCCAGGCCCAGGCCCGGACACGTCATGCCGCTCCGCGCGCTTCAATTCTGTCACTCCGTGCCCTTTCACCTCAGTAATTAGAATGTTTCCTCGGGATGAAGTATAGCTCGTCTGCTTGTGACGGGGACAATTATAGGAAGACGCTTCCTTCCTTGTGAGGTCCCCTAGCTTAGCGTGAGATGTGTTTGTCAGGAACCTGATTAAGAACCGTCACGGGTGAGGTGGGATTTAACTGGGGCCGGTCGGTGTAATTAAGTCACCGACCGCGGTGATGATTGGCTATGGAGGGCTGGGGGGGTTGTTCTGACAGGAAGGCATGGCGGTTCTGCAGAGGGGGCAGAAGGTCAGGTTGTGAATCTGTCGCACAGGCGTGGACATCGGTCACCTGGCTATGCCCATATCTGAAAACAGGTGCATGGAGCTTAGGCAGTGCACAGGTGAGGGACAGATGCAGCCTGGTAGGTCAATCGGCAGCCTGTCAGTGAAGGATACAGCTACGGTGACGGCTTCCTCAGTCTGGACCTCTTTATAATGTAATTTGCGTAATGAGCTGGGGTATGTTTCCAAAAAGCATAGCTGGTAAAAACGTTGATGTCAAAATTTTAACCGAACAGTTTCCAACTATGGGAGCTTTTGAGAAATGCACCCCTGGTTGTTGGAACAGAACTCAGTCTCTAAACAAGAAGTGGTCATATTTACATTTTAATTTCATTAGCTAATGAGGCTTTTATTTATTTAGCATGACACTTTCATGCAAGGCAACTGGAGCAATTGGAGGTTGTCTTGCTCAGGAATCCAACTGTGAAATCAATCTGCCGACCTGCTGACCCTGGGATTTGAACCAATGACGTACCGTTTACGGGCAGCATACCCCACTGATCCACACGTCACCAATATTCTTCGAGGTCATGGCGGGTCCATAGCAGTGGGGTGCTTTTATGCAGCATTTATTCAAAGATTCTGGATCCTGACCACGCCCTACATAACATCCTCTGAGCTAATGACTGGAGAATTGTTCGCCCAGGCTGAGAAATGTTTATATCCCTGTCTGCCAAGGCTCGACTCACAGAGCCGCCTCCCTGTGTCAGGGGAACATTATTGCCCGCTGAGCCACAATCCTGCAGGTGCCGCACTGACATTAAGACATTTAATCAGATGCTTGCTGAAGGTACTTTTCCATACAGCTTCATCGCTGAGGGGATGCATTACCACATTTCCTTCCGTTATGTAGGGCAGCCCCTAGCTGCTCTTAGTCCTGTTTTTTGTTTTTTTTATTTTCCCCTGTAGTTGCAGTTACACGTCCGTTTTTGCAGCCTTGGTATTGACCCGGTACCCCCAGGGACTACCGCCTTGGCCCTCGGCGTGCCGTGCCGGGTTTGCGTGGCCCTCCGGCGTTCCGCGATAGGTCAGGCTGCAAGGAATGCGCCAAGAGGGAAAGTGGGCCAGCTCACAAGAGAGCGAGCGTGCGGGGCACGCCATCTGCGTGATGGGGAAGGCGGCAGCCCGCGCAGGAAATGTGATGAGGCTGCGCTTTATTCTGAGGGATTGAGACTTACCCTAGAAACGCCATATTTTCAAACACACTTTCAAGTTTGATGGAGAATTGGGCCGTATGTCTGACGATGGCAATGATAATGACGATGATGATGAATATGTTTATCAGGATGAAGGCACCTTTTTAGGTTGGAGGGTGTCCATATTGGTCCTTTCTCAGACACACCACAGTGGCAGTGTTATTCCTGAGGTTGTTCAGGTTGTTAAACCCGCACTGATAAATTTTTTAAAATTTTCAATTCCAAAAACATAACAAACATGGAAACACGTGTGCGTCTCAGAGGCTGTAGATCACGAAAATGTGAGTTTGTTGAGCTAATTTGCATTTCACCGATTGTGAAAAGCAGCTATTGCTAGCTGCATCAAGCAAACAGGTGAGTTGCATCAAGTTGCATGTCAGCTGATCGCCTCGTAGGGTGTGTTTCGTTTGTGAGTTTCCTCATACTTGATGTTAAAGGATCGAGCTTTTTGTCTCCTTGCCTTGAAGCATGTATTTTCAGTGTGACCGTGAGTTTTGTCCTGCCCAATCAAATCGCCGTGTCTGACTTATTCTTCTCTGCCAGATGGCCAGTTCGGAGCGTACATGCAGGTGCACATCCAGAACGACGGACCCGTCACCATCGAGCTGGAGTCTCCCACCGGACCCATGGACTCCAAACAGGTACTGGTGTGGTTTTGGGAGTCACTTCTCAATTCTCCTCTGGTTTTAGCAGTGGAACTGTCTACCACGCTTTGCAAACTATTCAAATATTGACGTTTCAAGAGACTGTGTTGTGTTCAAGTACAATAGAAACGTTTGTTTAGGGAAAACTAGTTTGTGGGTTAGGGTTAGTGTTGTGAGTTATACAGAGATGCAATACACAACAAATACAATAAAACCTTGGATTGCGAGTGTTTTGCAAGACGAGCAAAATTTAAAAATAAATTTTAACTTGATAAACGAGCGAGGTCTTGCAATACGAATATTATGTATACACTTTGTCTGCCTAGCGTCACGTAATCACAACTGAGCCGATGGGTCTTCTCTCTCTCTCTCTCTCTCTCGATGTGGGATTGTGGGTAATCGTTTCCCATGCTCGGTCTCAGTCGGCGTGCTTCACTCGTATAGTCAAAGTTTAGTAGAAAAGCACAAAAAAAAAGATTCCAGTGAACCAACAGATAGCAGTGATTCCGTTAATTATAGTGAAAGTCGTCCTACAAAATAACCCTCCTCTTCTCCTCTCTCGTCTCCCTCACACCATCCACGATTCTTTTCAAAGGTAAAGTGCAGGTTAATTTGTTTTATTTATTTTTACTTTATTTTTTGTATTAATAATTTTTATATGAAAATTTTTGGGTTATGGAACGAATCATCCGAGTTTCTAATGGGACAATTCGCTTTGCATAACAAGCACGTTTCTGGAACGAATTATGCTCGCAAACCAAGGTACCACTGTATTGTTCTTTTTTTTTTGAAGTGCAGGTACCACAGTTATACAGCAGGTGGTGCTATCGTCCTTGCCACCATCTGCTGAAGCAGTCCCACGTTATCAGATTGCCACACTGTAGATATACCTCTGTCGTGGCTCATGTCAAGAGAACACACTGAAGACAAAGTTAATTTCCTACATGCCGGTCGGGTCTCCTGGTTTCCCCATGAGGTCTGCGTGTCCATGTGCGTGTCTTGAGGCCGTGAAATGGATTTCCTGTGGATTTCTGAGCTCACTGAAGACTCATCCCATCTGTGTGACAGACCTCGGTTTATTATCGATTGAGACATCTCTGCTCCTAACTGAATCGACCTCTTGGCTTAAAGCCTCCAAGTCGCTCTGTATTTTTGAAGGTTTCCCTTGCTTTATGGTCATATCGCGGCTGGCCAGCTTTAAGCGCAGTCCCCACGAAGTTCCCTGGGCTGTTGCTAAATATAACGCTTATTCTGGCCCCCACCCACCTTGATCACTTTGCTGCTGCCTTACCTACCCACTGCTCTTTTATGTCGCTGTTTTCGAGGTCGAAATGCAGAGCTTGGGCCAAGGCGACTCGTGAAGGTGGAACGTAATCGGCAGCTCTGGGTCCAGTCCTGCTGCCCGTGGCACGGCCGCCCCTCCGGCCCAGCAGGAGTCCGGGGCGGTCGAAGGTCCCCTCTTACACACCCACTCCGTTTCCATGGAGACCAGCTCGTGTTTTGAGGCCGCTCTAAATATCGGTGATGTCGTTCACAGTTACACAATCGGTCAGCCGCCGGGGATGCTGGGATTTGGCCTTCTCTGAGAATCATGCTGCACAGAAATGGAGGCCCTGTGGATGGACCTATAGTTACCAAAATCTGTGTTTGGATTAATTCTTTGATCAAAAACCTAAATAGTCTTAAGTGTCATCGTATTTGATCATGGCAGGTGGGGCAGTGGGTTGTGACTTTTGCCCGTAATCAGAAGGTCATTGGTTCGAACCCCGGACTGGCAGACTGACATTGTCTTTGGATCCCTGAGCTGGGCCCTTAACCCCGAGATCCAGTCAGTTGAGTCTCAGCTTCTGACATGCATGTCTAGTGTTATACATACTGTACCGTTTGAAACTTTCGATTTGTTGCTCTGCCCAATTCCCGTTGACATTTTGGCTGATGCTCCGCTGGATTTACTCTGCTGTTTAATTGAGGCCTCTCTAGTCAGGATACCAAGCCTGGAGAACCTGAGTCATGCAGGTTCAGACCCATGAACGCGGGAGCTTGGTGAAGAGGAGAGTTTAACAGCAGAGACGAGTCTCTCTGCAGAATCAGCCACCAGCTGTTTTCTTATTGATAAGGTTTTTTTTTTTCGTGGAGGCATCGACTGAAGATTTCAGTGGATGTTCTGTGGCCTGTTTTGACACGCGGTTTAATACAATCCTTTGCTGTTTTCCCTGAGGGGCGAGTCCCTCTCTCTCAGTACCCATCCTCCTCCCCGTCTGCACATCAGCCTACTTCCAAAGGACTAACTGTGACTCTGCTTGAATGGACAACTTGCAGAAAAAGCAAGTGCATGCAAAACATTAAGTAGGCCAGCCCGCCGCTGACCTTGAAGTTCCTGCATGTTTTAAAATAAAAGTCCCCGATGAATTCCAACCCTAATGCATACACACGCACATGCGCGCCATTGCATTTTGGACTCATTCCGTGCATAAAAGTACAGTCCGTAAGTGCACGCATGTTGAAACCTCTATTTTTAAGTTCAAAAGTTCATTATTTCTTTGTATGCATTTCCCCATCTTACTAGAGCAGGCCTTGTACTTTTTGTACATTCTTTGTTTACTGTCAGGTACTTTTATTTACTTTCCAGAGTTTGCAGCGGTTTCATGCATTTAACGTTATTGTCATCTAGTTTCATTTTTGTAAATCAAATCAAAATTCATTATTTTGTCCCAAAACGCACGGTCTTCCAAAGGGGTAGTTATGTCTTAAATATAACTCTTAATCCATAAAATTTCCTTGGCATTCACCAAAGTTCTAGAACCTTCGCCAAAGGCTTGTGCTCTTGTGGTTTTGTCTGCATCCTCACGGTTCCTCTGTTTTACTGAAGGTTTCCATAGGTCACAGAAAGCTGATAGCTTCCCCCAAGCCCAGTTTACCACCTCACACCTGGCCACAGCAGAGCATCCTTCGTTTTCCTCACGGTTATTCACTTGCAGGGGATCTGATTCGGATCGAGAAGGTGCTCAGTATGCTTTCCTCTGCCCAGGCTGGAAACTAGGACTCGCTCTTGACCACTGGAGAAGTCTAGGGGCCAGGTCACCTTGGCTGTTGTGTTCATAAAAGGACCCGATGCAGTCAGTGCAGACTTTTTGTGCACCGGGCGTGAACGTCACTGCGTAGTTTTTGGGGTCAGATTTCCCGTTTGCACCTACAGTCCAAATACATGGTGATATGGAGGAGGAAAGTATATCTGTGAGAAAGTATATCTGTGAGAAACCTGTGAAACCTTCCAGAAGGACAGGCTGCAAATCATTGGGATCCTGATTGGATAAACGGAGACTGAAAACAGATGGATGGCTCTTGCATGTAGTAAGCGGTACAGGGAAAGTGAAAATGTTTTTGGGTGTTTTAATGCTGTTCATGATAATTAACTCATTCATAATATTCATGTCTTACCAAATTTTCTACTCGACATCGTTGTTTTTGCTACATTGTTTCCAGGACTCCTTTATCAGCATAATTCTATGCAAAACTGTCAGGGATTCGTTACACGTTCATTGGTGACAGATTCGTTTCAAAGAGAGGAAATCATCGCTTTGCATCCTGCTGGCTTGAATTCCAGTGAAATTTCAAATGATCAAAGTCTCCTCTGTGACAAACACATGGGGGCCTCTGTAATGCAGCCATCTCTCTGCTCTCTGGAATATTCCCCTGGCCTGCAACGTCAGAAAGTGCTTTTTAGCAGCATATGCAGTTGTGGTGGCCCGTATGAGGATGCCTTACTGTCTGACCTGCTCGGCATAGGCAAGTAAGCACGCCGCAGGGTAACCTAACGGTCGCGGTTCTGTCCGAGTTTGAAATTACTTTCCTGTCTGCTCCAGGGATGAACTGTAGAGGCACGATTCTGAAAACCTCAGTGTTGTGTGACAGACTCAATGTAGGCTTCTGAGCCTAGCTTGTACAGTCTGCGATGGCCTTCTAGCTAATCTGTGCAGCTTCTAATAAGCAGTTTTTACACAGTTTGTCCTCACTACCCTCTCGAGGACAGCAGATATTTATCAACATCTCACTGCAGTCTCCCAGAGAAGAAACCGTTTCTAGAACATTCTGTGCTATAATTTAATTTTTGCCTGTATAGAGATCATATGATCGTTGCTTATATTTACAAAAGCAAACATTAAATAATGACAACAAAAGTAGACCAATGATCGTAGCTGGTGTATGATAAGCGGAATCTGATCCTGCCTGACAGTCGTCCCTTTGGTTAGCATGTCCTCACTGGATAGGCAGACTTCACCATGCTGGCTTTCCCTCTGCTCTGCGTGTGTGGATGTGTGTTTGCACACTCTCACTGTCTCATGCACATTCATCTGGGTCCTCTGGTCTCCTCCGCAGTCCAGAGACATGCAGGCTGCTTAACTGGCTCTCCAATGCCCTCTGTGTGTGTGTGTGTGTGTGTGTGTGTGTGTGTGTGTGTGTGTGTGTGTGTGTGTGTGTGTGTGTGTGTCCGTCCATCCGCTGGTGAACTGGTGTCCCATTCATGTTGTTCCCCAGCCTTGGGCCCTGTGCTGCCTGGGATGGGCTCCGGGTCCCCCCCCCCATGACCCAGTACTGGGTAAACAGCTGGAGGATGGATGCAGGGGGCTGGTTTTCTTGATTTATTTCATGTTTTGGTCTCGTAATTCCGCACCCATCGTCATTAGCTAGCTCTGTTTTTCCGCCTTTTTCACCGTTTTCTCTGTTAATGCTGAAAAGGTGCACTTTCTTTCTTTTTTCTTTTCCCCTATGTCATTATGGCAGCTGGCCAAGCAAGAGAAGCAGCAGCAACGGAAAGAGAAGACGCGGCCGAAGCCACCGTCCGAGTCGGGAAGGGAGAAGGCAGCTGCACGGCAGAGGGTGGACCCTAGTGCTAGCAGTGGGGCGGAGGGAGACGTGTCCTCGGAGAGGGAACCGTAGGCACCACCCCGGTGAGCATGGGTTGGGGTGAGTCGGGCGTGTGTCGCCGCCCTGCTGGTCGGTATCTTGCGGCCAACTGCGGGGTATTTTTAATCACAGATGCCTGGACTTGACGCTTGCTTCGGCCGGTTGACAGCTGTTGCTTTTCTGCGTGAGGACGTGTCCAGCCGTATTTATGCATTTAAATAGATTCAGATGTTAGGTGCTCATCCGTGCTCTACAGCTCGACTCTGCAATGCAGTTAGACAACATAGCGCATCTCTTTTTGGACCATAAGATGTGACTCCCTTGAAAAGGGGGAGATCATCGCTGGCGATTGGTGGGACGGGTCTGTCTTTGCTCAAGCGCGAGCAGAAGACCAAGCAGGTCCTTACACAATCACTCACATCCGTGTGGATTACTGAGGTCTGGTTATGTTTTTGGGTCCTATTTTTGACATAAACAACTGCCTGAGAACGGGAAATGCATGCGGCGCTCCGAGCGGGAGGTGCCAAACCGCGCCTGCTGCTGCAGACTGACTGACTTTCTTCTTCTCTCTGATAACTGCATCTCCTGCTTCACGCTCCGTACGCCTGTCGCTCTAATCCTCCTGCTCAGGCAGGAGTGTATAATGTGTCTGAAATATCAGTACATGCTACGGGCCTCAGAATTTCTGTGTCTAAGCTTCTCATGTGTGTACACACCCACAGCAAGCAAAATCGCATAAGCATTATCTAGGCTTGGCCGGTATCTTGTTTTCATACAGTCATACTGTCCAGGTATTATACTGCGGTTTATGCTATTATGACTGTATTTTTAAAACAGGGCAGCCTCAGTGATGAGATCCTTGCCGATAAAATTCACTGAGTGGGGGGGTCCCCGCAATGCATTTCGGCAAACCACAATACCACAGTACACACAAAATTTCATGCTATAGCTAAAATGCTACAACGATATACTGTAATACTGCCCAAGCCTAGTATTGTCTAAGTAATTCCTGGTAGATTTTTACAGAATGTAAAAAGGAACCCTTGATTGATTTAGGTGTTATTAAAATGTTTCATTCGTAATCACAGAAATGCAGTTCTTGCACACTGTAATGTTAGCTGTGAATTCCCGTAAACTGCAGTGACGATGGCGATGATGATGATTCTTGTTCTTTGTTTACAGACGACGGCTTTGATGGGACTACTGAAGTACCCAGAATGCCCTGCAGGGCTGTCACTCTCCGTGGCGGCCATCTTACTTTGATTTTACATATTTATTTATTTATTCCTTCGGAACATCGCTCTCTGGGGATCACTTCACGCCGGGAGGCCACAGAGTACTGTCCTGCTCCTGCTCTTCCTCGTCAAGGGGGATGTAGGCAGACACAGCAAAAATTAAATTAAGAATCGACCTGAGAATATGGAATTATGGCAGCCAAAGCAAACCAAGGGAAGTTTATTAGCGATCAACTGTGTATTTTTTTGCCCTTATTTAGGTCCTGGTTTTTGTTTAATTGATGTTATGTTGGCTCTTGTAAAATGGGCAGTTTGAGACCTGAGAACATTCTGTCTCAGTTATGCTATTGGCAGCCATGAATAACACTGAATTTCCAGATCAGTGATAGACTAGATAATAATTAGGAAATATTATTAATGTCTGGCAGGAGTATTGACTGGCTTCACAGGGTTCCTATCATTAAAACATATTATTAGGGTCATTGCTTATGTTACAATACCGACCAAATCAATGATTTTATGGTGTTTTGGTATGACATTCATTTCTATACTTCTATAATTTAATTTCTCAACTAGCCTGCATATTTAAAAAAAGTGATTATTATAATGATCCTTAATTTAAGATTTATTACAACATCTAAAATTTAAATCCCCAAAAAGCACAAAACCAGTCCAGTCAATCAATGCTAAGCAGGCTTCAGTTCCCATGGCTAAACTGACAGGTCACCTGCCCATTTTCCACATTTACTAAGGGGCTTTGTTTATAATGAAAAGCACTGAGTTATTTTCATAGGAAGCTCTCATGATGTGCAACTATGTAATTGTGTTACTATGGGCTATATTCTGTTTGCATGTGTATGTGTGTGAGATGGAGCCTAATCCCAAACGCAGGAAGCCTTACGTTGGCTCAGAGGACCAAGAAGCACACAGACATGCTCAGTGGTTTCTAGGTTAAGCTGTATTTCCCCCCCCTCCCCCAACCCACCACCCCCCGCTGCCTGGGAGGGGCGTGGCGGCTTGTCGTAAGCATTCCCTATGATGTAGGAGCTTGCGCCTACTAGCTCAGACACACGCTGCCTCTTTGTGTTGTGACGCCCTGCAGTGTGTAGTGACGCCTGCGTGTTTGTGCGTGAAGCTGAGTAGGTCCGTCTGGGCCACCGGAGGACTGTAACTCTTGAGGGTGGTAAGACCTGGGACCAGCTTTGCTCCTTTTCCAATCAAATGCTGTCTTCTGATTCTTTTTTCAGCACAAAAATAAAAGCTTCTGAATCAGTTATTTATCACATAAAATTGCCTGTGTGTAGTTTACTGTGTGACCTACAGCTATTATTAGTTACCCTTATTTACTATACATATGTACAAACTAAATATACATCATAGTGTTCTTCACTAATCACATTACTCTCTTTGGAGAGTAAGTACAGCAAATGTGCTGGTAAACTTCACACTAGAAGTTCAAAGCCTGAGCAATCAGTAATGGATCCCTTTCCCTTAAATTCTTTGTGATATAGCCTCTGTGTGTATGGTGTAGTAAATGTGGATCCCTTTCCCTTGATCTCTTTTGTGATATAGCCTCTGCGTATGGTTCAGTAAATGTGGATCCCTTTCCCTTGATCCCTTTTGTGATATAGCCTCTGCGTATGGTTCAGTAAATGTGGATCCCTTTCCCTTGATCCCTTTTGTGATATAGCCTCTGCGTATGGTTCAGTAAATGTGGATCCCTTTCCCTTGATCCCTTTTGTGATATAGCCTCTGCGTATGGTTCAGTA